ATAAATAAAATAAATTAGCTATTACTATCCTATCACGATGTGCATTGGAAACAGCTATCTTCAGTTTCTATTTATGCCTGGAGCACGAAATGAACATTCAAGCACAATTCTTACATGATTTTTTTGTGGGATCCTCACATCATCTATGCCTGCTGCAGAAGAATGGAAAATTCAAGGAATCTTTGACTGGATCCAACAAAGACACTACCTCAACACATTAAGAAGCTGAAACCTTTAAGCTGTTACAAATCAAACAAGCTATTGCAACCTACATTCAAAATTAGACCACAAAGGTCAAAAAAACACCACCAAGAACAAAACCAAACACCATCTTCTAGATCCAAGACATTGCCCTTAACAGTTGACATCTTTGGCTATGAGTTTTATGAGTTGGCCATACACTTTTGCTACCCAAAACACAGCAACTCAAGATCAAAACTTGGATTCTAGCAATCTAGAACTGTACATTTCCTTTACACAGTTAGAATTCCATTTCTTAAGTTCTTAGTTTCTTTGGTATGAGAAATCAGATGATGAATGATCTCTTCAGCTAGTTACAGGTGATGGTAAAATTTTCAAAGGGAGAAAGTGAATCTGATGAGGGTTAGTCATTAAAATGTTGCCAGGACAGGTACTGGACATCATGTGGAAAGGGAATGGAAGTTTCTCATATGCAAGAGTTAAAGGAAAAGCTATACAGGCAGCTCTTAAAAAGAGGTTTTCATCTACTTGAAGACACTGAAAATACACGTAAGGACAGGTTTACATGTCAAGCTAGGTTACAAAAGTACTAACTTTCATTATCATGGCTCCCGAACAGATTTGCAAATGACATAGGCAATTCTTTCAGAAAGAGGGATACAAAAAGGTAGAAATACAGTATATGATTTCAAAGCACTATGAAGTGTTTCTATAGACAATCTGCCAGCAAGACAAGTTAAGAAGACTAAAGTCAGCATTAGCCTCTGTCTTCCAATTACAGTCACAAATGACATACTGCTCAGTGACAAATGATGTCTGCTATCTTATATTAAGATGGTTGCTCTAGCAGATGTTTTCAAATTATCCCAAGCTATGTCACAGGGAATGGCAAAAGAACTGCTGGTGTACCAGCAGCCTAAGGGAGCCATTAAAAAAGTCATTTGTTATCCTCTTATGAAACCTTAGCCAAAAAAAAATAAAAAATACAGAAAGATACAGGAGAATAGAAATATGTTATATTCCTCAGTGAAAGTTTTAAATATCTGACTACAGAACCACCAGGAAAACAAAGCGTTCACTTCTTAGCTTGGACTGAGACAGCTTATGCAGACTGTCCTTCAAGGAAAGAACACAGGGAAAAAATAATAAAAATAAAAACTAAACCAAATAACAAAACCACTCCACCCACAAAAAGAAAAATTACCCCAGAAAGCAGTGATCTGTATCATTGATCTGTGATGACAGAGTAAGGACAAAATAGATCTTTTTATCATGAATGTCTCTACATGGTAATCCTGGTATTATATACTGACTCACAAAATAAAGTTAATCCCTGGTGGGAAAGATACAGACAGCTTTTATTGATACAAAACCTCTGCAACACCAAGGAGAAACTCTCTCCAAAAAAGAACATAGACAAATAAAAGAGAGGGACAGAGAGAAAGGAAATGACGACCCTTCCTTCTGAAACGTACTTGGAAGTAAGGTTCTGTCAGATCTTACACACACAGCCAAAACAGGTCTTCAAGTCAAAACCATGATAGTGAAAACAATTTATTTCTTTAAATCCCATAGTCAAATTGTATAGGTACAGCAACTCTGAAATATGAAGCAAATATGGAGCATGTGAAGGGGGCAGGGGTGGTGTGTGTGTGAGAGAGAGAGAGAGAGAAAGAGAGACTAGGGAGAGGCAGGGACTGTGCTCTTCCACTTCATTCTCAAGAGCTGCACTCTGGAAGCATGAGGCAACAGTAAAAGCACACACCAGCAGACAATGTAACCACAAGAAGGAAGGTGCCAATGAATGCTGCTATAAGTTAAGGAATGGGTAGGTGTCTAGTCTTGACCTATGGTGAGGGAGAAAAATCTCTCTCTTGTTACCATGGAGATCCCCTTTTCAGGTTTCTTTGGATGAGCTTCATGCACGAATGCAAAATTTGGAATAAGAGGAGAACAAGTATTAATTATGTGCCCCTGACAAAAATAGCCTTCTTAAATCTTGAGAGATAATACAGCAGAGGCTGTAAAAATTAAGTTTGGTTACAGAGATTAAGGGTTGAATAAACTACTTCATGTTCCAGAGCCTTGAGCTTCTTCTTAAAATGGCAATGCCCATCTGAGAGTGTTGCATCTGTCTACTACAATTTGGGTGAAAGCCTGAATTACTGGATGGTATGAGACAGGAGTAAAAAATGCAGCAAGAGGAAAAAATAAATAAATATGTGTGGAGTCTCCTTACTACTGCTTCTTGGTATGGAATCAACTCTATTTATTATACTAGGTCATTAATTATTCATACAGTTCTTTCTGTATTTCCAGATGGCAACATCACTGGCTAAGGCTACACTGAGATGCACCACCTTTACAGGGAGGACAGCATTGCAATATCTAACACAGATTACGTTGATATACTTGTGAGTGCTAATCTCATAAGAAATAGACCAGAATGAGCACCAAATTAAGGATATATAGTCAACATGGGCCACTCTGGTGAGAAAGACAACTTAAATTCAGGCAGATATATATGAAAGAACATTATTTTATCATGTATTTTGAAAATACTTGATTATTTCCCTAATTAACGACACATTTCATATGCTTTCATTAGCTTACACTATCTACTTTCAATAGCTCTGAAATGCACAATATCAGGACAGACCAGTAAGCTATACAGAAGAAAATCAAGAACTGTGTTGTTGCCATTAAAATAAATGACTCTTCCTATAATTATTAACAGTGAATTTATCTCAGAATACTGTTTGGACTTTTGGACCTGTTGGGATCCTTTGAATTGGTGGACACTGATCAAATGCACCTCTTTTAAGTGAGGGGATATACCTGAAGTGCACACACTGGACCCACACACCACTGCAAGTTAGTGTTGCCTTTTTAAAGGTGTTTTAACATTGGAATACACTCCAACATAACCAGCTGAGCATACACCATGCCCACAAGCACACCTACCTTTTATTTATAAGTATGCTAAGAGCTTACACATTTTTAAACTAGCTTCACATGTTGTCAGCGACGTTTCTCACCGTTTTTGCTTCTATTACTATTTTTTTCCCCTTCTTTCTGTCTTTAACATTACATTTACACATCTCTGACAGGTGTAGAAAACAACATGAATGAAACGGGACTACCTGAAATCAATCGTGTAAAACCGAAGTACATCCCTTTAAACACTAAACTGCTCCATACATTTTCTCCGAGATCACATAAAAGCATCAGCCTGGTTTACAAAAGAGCAAACCACAGCAGTTGCCTTGCTGGCATCCTGAGCCGGGTTTAATGACAACAAAAAGCCATAATTACATAACAGACCTTGCTAAACGCCCAGTTTCCGCGATGGAGCGGAGGGGATCGGGGCGGTGTGTGTGTATCCCAGTGAGTGTCCCTGTCCCTCCACCCGCTCCTCTCGGCGCGCTGGGGGCGATGCGCACCGGTGCGGCGGGGGACCCGCAGCTCCCGCGGGAGCGCTTTAACCCCCCTCGGGAGGCTGCCGATGCAGTCACCGCCTCTCTTGGCCGCTAAACGCCTACACCTGCGCCGCTCCGGCCTCCCCGGCTTCTCTCCTCGGCACCTCTCCGTTATCCCGGCTTCCCCGGGCCAGGAAGGGGGGCTGCGCTCGAAGCACACACCGGGCTGCCCGGCGCTTCGGGAGCCCTCGCTGAGGGATGGGCAGCGGCTGGGGAGGGCCGCGGTGAGCCCGACCTTCCTCCTCCCTGCCATCCTCCCGGAGGTGGCCGGGCTCCGCTTCCCATTCACTCCACGCCGCCTGCATCCCTTGCCTTTTCTTCCCTTCTCTTCTCTTCCCTTCCCATCCCTCCTGGCCTGGGGAATCCCCGGGAAATGGAAGTACGGCTTGTCACCCACCCACTACGGCCCGGCCGGGCGGCTGCTGCCCGGCTCGGGGTGAACCCCGCGGTTCTCTCCTTGGGGATGCACCGCGCAGCACCGCCTCTCGGCTTTGCTAGGAGGAAGAAAAAAAAAAATAAGGAGGGGGGGGAGGCAAAAATTCACCGTGCTTATCTTTTACTGCCGAGGAGAGACACGGGACAAACTCGGCCGGAACAACAGGCGACAACTAGTTGTGGAGCCCGCCCGGTGCCCGTGGGGCGGTGGGGTACAGAGCACGCACCCCGGGGAGCGGGGGCTGCCCCTGCCCCTGCCCCCGCCTCGCTCGCTCGCTCGCTCCCCAGGGAAGGGGGCGCCCCCCTGGGCAGGGAAGGGAGGATCGCCCTCCTCGGCGCTATCCCTGGTGGCTGCCAAAATACCCGCGGAGAAGGGGGGGGGCGGGATAAAAACCCCGCAACGCAAGGCCAGCTAGAAATTATTCAGTTGAATGATGCAGCAAACCGGGGGGGGTGGTGGTGGGGGTGTCGATGTGAGGCTGGTCCTCCCGTTGCCACTCTCCAGCCCTGATTAATAATGCACGGCTTCCCTGCCGAAGCGAAAAGACCTCTTCCGCGCTCAAGGCAATTAATAGCACCCTTCATCCCGCGAAACCTTCGCTAAGCACTCCCACACGCTCCCAGTCTGAGGTGGCAGGAGCACAATAGCGGCAACCTCTGCCTCACAGACCGGGGGGGGGCTGGGGAAGCGACACCTCTCGCAGCCGGCCCGATCCCCCAAGAAGAGAGTCCCGGGGAGCCGCGGGGAGCGGCGGCAGCGGCAGCCGCCGGCGCGGCAGGAGGGCAGGCTGCCTGCCTGGCGAGCGGAGGGCGTACCGCGCCGCACGCTGCCAAAACACGATCACCCGTCGGTATTGTCAGCAAACAGCACACACAAGCATTTACCTTTTTATGCCCGCCGTCCGTCAGTCAAGCAGTTTGAGGGAAAGGAGGAGAAAGCAAAGGAAAGGAGAAGAAAGAGACAGAGAGAGAGACAGGCGGCTGCTAATCCCCGTGTAGGAAGACTTCCAGCAGCAGCAGCAGCAGCAGCAGCGTGTGTGTGTGCGTATGCGTGCGTGCCCGGAGTGGAAGCACAGCCCTCCTGGCGATGCACCGGCTCTTGCACCGAAGTGCTGTCATGTGCGCGTCTCGGTGTGTGTACCCATGGAGAAAAAAAAAAAAAAAAAAAAAAAAAAAAAAAAAAAGAGAGACGGGGGAGACTAGTCAGCCACACACCCGGCTGTGCACGGCTCGAGGGGGAAGAGGAGGAGGAGCCCAGCGCTCCCCAGCCCAACCACCGGAGGAGCCGCTCGCTACTACCGGCGGCCGGGCACCGCAAGCTGCCCCGCGACTCCGCAGCCCCGCTCCCTCTCGCCCGCCTTCCCCTCCCAGTGCCAAGGACTCGCCTTCAGAAAAGACTCCTCCGGGGCCTTTGTCCCCGGGGACTCCGCTGCACCCCGGGCAGACCGAGCCAAGGGTGATCAGCTGAAGAGAAAAAAAAAAAAAAATCCACGTTTCTAAAATAAATAAATAAATAACGCTGGCCGGCGAGCGCCCCCAGGCCACGGCGACTCGCCCGCGCCGCTCCGCAGCCGCTCGGCCTCCGCTGTGGAGGGGGCTGCAGCGTCTCTCCGGGGACAGGCCAGCGCCGTGCTCGCCGAGCCGTGCCGCGCCGTGCCGCCCGGGGCCGCCCTGCCGCCCGGGAGGGGAGGGCGCCGCACGAAGCGTCTCGACCCTCCGAGAGCGGGGCTCGGGAGTCAAGGGACGCGGGGCTGCCCCAGAAGCCGCTGGTAGAGGAATGACAGTGGGACCCCCGGAGCGTGCGGGTCGTGGTGGCAGTGAAATCTCTTGTAGTTTCTCAGTGGGAGTGATCAGTAGCACGGGTGTGGGGCAGGAGGGCGCAAGGGGTGGCAGGAAGGCATGAGCATTGGTGAGAAGCTCTGCGTGAGTTGCCTTTGATTATATTTTTCAGTTTACGACACAGCTAATGGAAAGCGAGAAGTGCAAAATTCACAGAAATATACATGCATATATGTTGTCACATATGTTGTTACAGAAATATACATACATATATATTTCGACGTACAGTTCATGAAAGAGCAAGTTCTTATAGTCATTCATGTAAGGTCAATAGTTGGTTATGCTAGCAATTTTCAAAGTGTGATTTCATAAAGCCCCAGACCAGGAAAAGTCTGTGAGAAATATCCTTGCTATTTCATTCTTTATACAAAAGTTGTAATATGTGTGTGCTAAAAGTTAGTAGAAATAGGGTTATTTTAAGACCTAAATGACAGGGAGGAAAAGTTTTGTTGGGGATATCATTTATAATGTTATACTCACTTCTGTTTCTTTGCAGTGAGTGATGTAGATCTAATGTCTTGGAGGCACAGAAAGGAGTAAGAGATGTTGACATTTTAATTACAAATGTAAATCCTATCTAGTCTAGGAAATTCTGATGACTGATAATTATGTTAATTAGCAAGCAACCAACAGACAGAGTGGAAAAAAAAAAAAGGTCAATCTATTAATAATTATATATATATTTTTTGATATAGATATAATAGGTGGTGTAAAAAGAAAACAATTAGAAAGATTGGACATCTTACTAAGACTTATCTGTTCACAATAAAATATTTTGAGACTTCCCACAAGTCCTGCAATAAAATAAAAAAGACGAAATTTGTTGTTACTAAAGTTGTATAAATCAAGTCAGTATTACATAGCTAATAAATTGTAGACGAAAGCTTTTATATTTTTTTTTCTTCTTTTATTTTTAAAAATAAAAAATAAAAAATAAAAGATACACATGATCTTTTGATTCTTTAACTGAAACACAGATGCTGAATCTGAGCTAACTCAGGCAAATAAGTTAAATAGCGAAAATTTCATTTTTTTTGATTGATATTCGTACATACAACAGTACCCTGTACACTAGATTAATTCATGTATTAGAATAAATTTTCTTACTTGTCATCATGATAAGTATTTTCAAACTATCTTCAAATCCAGCATAATCTGTTGTTTAAAATATGAAGATGTGTATACCTCATAGTAGAATTTATGCATTTTTTCTCTGTACTTATGTGAAGATTTAGCTTGTCCGCCATAGGCTTATGAAGTCATAAGGAAGATTTAGTCATGTTATATGTGATAGTTCTACATAAATATTTATACTTAATATGTTGATTACGTTAGTAGAACTAGATAGTAGATGAAAACATATAACATTTTGGGGCTTCATGCAAACTTTTAGCAAATGACGTAGACAAAATTTCTTTTGAAATTTGAAGTTAGAAGGAAACAGTAGGCATTTATGCATGAGGCTATCAGAATTCAAAATACAGGCTGGTATGGAAATTTTCTTCCTTTTTGCTTGCACTCCTTATACTGAATCTAGACCATTTAGTCAGTTTTCTGGATGATCCTTGTTTACCTGACTTTAGTCCAGGTCAACAGGGTGGAAAAGGGAAGTCTTGTTATAAATTATCTTCTGAACTGATCTAGAGGAATCTGAATCTTGGAGGAGTAAAAAATTGGAGTTGTATTTCATAATGATGTAGATGGTCTTTGTGGGCTGCTCGTCCTTTTAACATTAGGAATAGCACTTCTCTATACTAGTCATTATAGTACTCATGGGTGTCTTCAAAGATATGCAGCTTGGAGGGGGAGATTTCTAGGATGAGAGTAAAGATTCTTCACAGGGCTGTGTGAAAGATGGCACACACAAAGAAAACTGAGAACAGCCTGTGAAGCAGAGGGTTTCAGTACAGACAATAAACAAATGTAGGTGAACAAGAAACAAATGAATAAAGCAAAGCCTAGAAGAAAAATGTTTGGAAACAGTTTTCAGATCAGAGAAATAGGAATCATAAAGGGCCTGGGTAGCTGAGATAGTTCAGTATTAATATCTTCAACCATCTGTAGTGTATCTTTCAGTAACCCAAAATGCAAATGTCCTTATTATGTATTACACTCATGCTTTCAGGATCTCTTTATTCCTGAAGGAAATTCTGTTTGCTTTGACGGATTTTGAAAGTGGTCATCTTATGGACTGTTATTACTAGATAATTAAACTAGATGTATGCTCACATGATCTTCTTCAAAATGATGATATTTACCATGTTACAAAATTTGGGAGTTTGAAAATAGATTAGTTTTTGTGCATCGCTGCCCTCTACTGGAGAGAAGGTCAGAACCACTCGATTAACTAGCTTTTACTAAGCCTCAAAGCCTCTGGCTTTTTGGTATTCCTCGTTTGTTGTTGAATTATCTTTTTATGACTGAGGCTTACAGGTGTGAAGTTGTGGATGGTCAGCATCCATAAGATTTCTCTTTTCTTTGTGAGTTCAAATAACTGATCATACAATTTGCCATCTGCAGTTTGTTGTCACAGAAATATGACACAAAATGATGACTAAGCAATGGTTAAGATTCTAAGATATGTGTCTTCTATTAACTTCCAAGGAAGAAGCATCTAAAGTCATCACAGAGGCTCCGAAAATCTTGAATGGTGCTGCTTTCTAAGTATTTGCCTGTAACTTCGCAGATAACCTCATCACCTTTCACATCAATATCTAAATCCTTTGGTTCACTCTTCATTGCATTATAGAAAAAATTCCCTCCATCCCTCATCCTACTCTGACCTGTCATGCCTTCATACTTACCGTTCACTGTCAATATTAACATTTCCACAGTACCACATTTTTGTTCAATTTTAATTCTTGCAGACTGGGCATTAGCAGAGCAACTGGATCATGGAGATATAGCAGTGATATTATCTCTGTTCCCATGTCTCATTTCTTCCACCTACTGTCAAAACAACTCTTGCATGTCAAAAGCAATTTCTGTAGAAATACACAAAGTTTTCCTGCTGAGGAGGTATACAGATAGCCATGGCACAAGAAGAGCTGGGAAGGATGAGGCCTGCTCAGAGTGCACAGTAAAGAAAGTTTCACTATCAAACTCAATATATATGTATATCTTCTACCTACACAATAGATATTAACAATATTTCTGTTCATTTTTAGCTTTGCCATACCTAGATCAGTTTTACAAAGCTCACGTGCATGTTTTCTCATTCCCTTCCCATATCAGCTGGTGTTTCAAGGCAAGAAGATGTTCTGAAGGTGGCCATAAGGGTATCTCCAACATGGGCAAAAGAATAGCTTTATCAGCTTCTGCCTCTAATCTGATTAATGGCAGAACCTGTTATCCTGAAACTCTGCTTTTCTCCTCTTTCTCTAAGTAACCTGGAGAAAACATCTGTCTAGAAAAAAATATTTAAAATGTTTTCAGTTTCTTGATATTATAGATATATTCTACTGAACAGACAATATCTGCCACAGTAAGGTTTTTTGCCCTATTTTATTGTGTTGTACTGAAAGTGGTGATATTCTAGGTAGATGAATTGTGTGGGTTGTCTCATTTAATGTTATCTAATTATTTGCTATAAAAAACATTGTAACAAATTCCTAACCCTAGCCTAATAGATAATGGGAAACAATTAATAGAGCATGGAGCAAAGCAGCTGTTCCAAGTGAATGAATCCTAAATGACATGTGCCCTCCAAGGAAAATGTAAACAGGTAACAGTTCACCTTGTAGGACCACATTGATTACCACATGCTCACAGTAAAGGATGGATGATAAGAAGGCCTGGTGAGCCACCGGTTACTCATCCAGAAAATTTGGAAAAGAGTAGCAGCTAATCCAAATACACTGTCAGCTTAGCGTAACTGCTTCATATAGGGAAAAAAAAATCTTCAAGTTTAGCATTGGTTTGGGATTGATATATGTTGTTTTATGATTAATTAAAACAAATGCTTTTTTTAAAGAGATTATTCTTATGACCTTCAGGCTATCAAAGAAACATGTAATTCCACAAAATGTAGGACTTTCAAACTCTATCAGGAATTAAAGCAGATGTCTGGTGCATGAGGTCTTTGTTTTAGAAGATGTAAAATAGATTTGAGAACAACATATTCCTTCCCACCCCTCAAATCTTTATTCAATATTAGAAACAACCACCATATTGGTTCTCAGCCAATAGGATGTACTTTAGTGATATCAACAGAAATCTTATTTTGAATAAACATGAAGAGAAGAGGAAAAATTCAAAAGAAGAATGAACTATTCAAATGAATAAGTCCATGAAATTCCCTCTGTAAAATGAGTATTTTTC